TTTTTCCACACCCGAAAGTGCGTTCAACTACACTGTGTAAGGACGAGTGAACTTTGTTAAATAATTCCTTGGGATTGTTTGTTGTCCTATTCCGTTCACTAACGCGGAATTGTTGTTGATGGTAACGGCTGCCTTTGAAAGGTGCTAGGTAACCTATCTGATTTGGATAGCCTGCATCAACAAGATAATATTTTCCTGTAAACAATACCATAAGTTATGACACGAACCACCAAATTTTGTTCCAGTTTCAAGTAACCATGTTTTTCCAAAAATTATGTACTGCCATCGATTTTTCAATGCAACGTGTTACCTTTTTCAGGATGTGGAAATTGGACATTGTCATTTGTTACTATCTCGTTGAAGATGCGACTGTCGTGCATACTTCCTTCCCATCCAAGCGAAACAAAGATGAAACACATGTCAAAATCGCACGCAACCATGATATTTTGCGTGTGACAGGATTTCCTACCAAAATATGTTACGGCATCAAGCCCCGTAACCCGTGCAGTAACATGTGTTCCGTCTATTGCTCCGATACAGTCCTACCAGCAACCCAATTGCATTGTTAATCCACCAGATACATGTAATGGTTATTTTTCGTACGTCACGTCCAATGGAAAAAAAAAATTACTTGAAGGCATACATAATTAACGAAGTTAGGTCTGAAAATAAAACATTGAATGGTAGGTATTTTCGTTTAGACCTCACGTATGGATGTATATTATGCAGCCTATATGTGGGCCGGCAATGTATAACAGTGAATTCCTTCATCACCGTTAGTACATTATTCATGTGCCGAGACACAGTCTCCCCCGAATATTGGAACCGTTATTGGATTTCCCGATTTTGCTTTCCTTTCAACACATGAATAAACATTGCAACGCTTTCTTCAACAGCTAATCTATGTGAACGTTGCGGTACTTGTAACCCAAATTTGAAACCCCCTCAACACGTGAATAAACATCACAACACTTTCTTCAACAGTTAAGCCATGTGGACGTTGCGCTACATGTAACCCAAAATCAGTTACTAATGTCTGACACAAAACTGCAAAAACTTCCTTCGGCATGCACACATTTTCCTCAAATCGACCCACGTGGCCCGCATATAGTTCGGTTATCCATGCATGCCCAGTTAAAATTGAAGTGCGACATGGCGTTTTAGCCATGTGCTTTTCATACCACTCTTGCACATATTGGCATACTTGTACAAATGTCCAGTTGTTTTGTTGATGCAGCTGTATGGCCATTTGGTTAAGCATTTCCTTTAATTCCTGATTGTTACTTCCATCCCCGAGATCCATCACGTTAATTGAAGCGAAACCTACAAAAATGTGACATTTAAATCAATGTACACGTGATGCACTAACTAAAAGGTAATACCAGTATGCAAAAAAAAAAAAAAAAACTGGCAGCATTGGAATTAAACAGTGGTAATTGGTAATACACAAACCAATCAACCATCTATTGCATTACCAACACAAGCATACATTAACGTAACAATAACATACCAATAAATAAGCAAAAACGAATAACTAACCAAGCAACACACGGCAACCCGCCGTTGCGCATGTACATCCCAAAGAAAAAAAAACAATCATAGTCATTTGGTTCCATCCAAAAAAAACACAAAAGCATCATATGAAGTCGGCGACGAACATAGTCAAACATGCAAGTAATTCTTCACCAAACCAAGGAAACAAAAAAAATAAAAATAACCATCATGCAAGAACCACGCACAACCGTCCTGTTTTAGTACAAGTCCAACATTAACGTAACTAAAAGCAAGCTAAGGGAACACATGCACCAACATCACACTGATACATCACATCCGACGAGCGCCGAACAGGTTTCGCAAATGACGCCGCCGCATTGCACTGTAGCTGCTTCTGTGTCAGCCAGCCTACAATGTGGTCGTCATCAGGCTGGCACATCATCACCTCTCGGTAATCTGCGTTATCCATAAGTGTCAAGGCAAAATGGAATAGCGGCGTACCGAGAAGGCCAGGAATGTTCCTCAGCCGTTGCATACATTCAGAAATTGTGTAAAGTGATTCGTTCCCTGTTACGTGCCTGACCGTAACTTGCTGATTCTGGGTACGGACCACATTTGTTAAATTGTTCATGCTCTCTGCAATAATTGACGCTCCACTTGTTGCCTTCTTCGACTTTGAAGCACTTGTTGACGGAGTCCGTTTCCTTTTTTCTTTAACATTCGAAACAAGTTCAAGTGAAGAATCTGAATCCACGTCCTCTGCTCGTTCGGGTATCGGATCAACAAAGGGCTGCGATCCCAAACTGTGCACATAATCGAATAAGAGATCAGCAGTTTCAGCAACTTTCTCTCCCGGGGTCCAATGGTGCTTACTAGTAGCTGATGCCCCTGTAAATACTATCTTCATCAACTCGCAATGTTCCAACGTTTTTTTCCTGAACTTGCCACACACCTTGTCTATCTGCAAAATTGGAGAGTGAAAAAAAAGCAATACGTTACATACGATATAAAGTAATGTTTACTAACAATAAAAATGGGAACATATATAATATGTAATAGGGAAGCATGAAATAAAACAAACAAACGAAATTTGTTTTGGACTTACCGATTCCATCTTGTCCCACCACTCCTTAGACGCCTGAAACATACTAGTTACTATGTCAAAGCCAATCCCTGACACTTCTCTGCTTGCATCCATCAACTTCCTCCATGCATTCCACTCTTTTTTCAAACTCATGTATTTATTCTTCAACTGTTTGAGGCTATGTTTTTTTCTTGTTTTTTGCTCAAATTTCCTTGCCAACAACTTATACACTGCTTAGCTTAGGACAAGGAATGGTCGATTCTCTTTTGTAATCTCATTTGCAATTAGCTCCAAGAAAAGTCGGATTGACTCACTGTCCCATGAGGCCTTGTGGGTTAACTGCCTCTGTGTCTCTTCCACACTAGTTGAATGCACCGGGGCAATGCCTTTGTTTTTCGTTTGGGTACGCGAATAAGTACGTATGGAAGCCATTATCAACAACCATGGAACTAAAGCAACTAATTTACAGTTCAAAAATTATCATTTAATTTGGTTGCCACATGCACCATGTATGACAATAAAAAATAAACAGGAAAATGGGATGCAACATTTGATAGTATATAACCATTACACATTACATAACATTGCAATATACTACAAAACTAGGTAACTACACAAGCAACACATCGTTGGCAATATTTACACCACTAGTGATTAATATATCTATCCCAAACTACTAAACGAACGCAAGGCCAAAATAAAATTCCTAACAGTCAGCCTACTAACAACATCCAAAGTTTCCTTACATGCGCAACAACAAAATGACAACGACAATGCATAGCAAAAAAAATTGATTAGAAAATCCAGATTTCAAAAAAAAAAATCAGAAATTCAGATTTCATATTTTAGAAATATCAGATTTCATTCAACATTCAAAAATCAATAAACACGTTGATATGATTTTTTTTTTGTTTTTAATGAGAATTATAAGAAATCAAATAAAGAATTTACAAAATTTAAATTTGTTTTGTAAATTCAGATTTTTTGAAGACACATGGAGAAATTCTCAGATTTATGAAGACAAAAGCAGAGGGCAAATTCAGATTTCAAATTATTATGAAGACAGAAATTTGGATTTCAGATTTCAGCAAAAAAATTGATTAGAAATTCCAGATTTCAGGAAAAAAAAAATCAGAAATTCAGATTTCATATTTCAGAAAAATCAGATTTCATTCAGCATTCAAATTTCAGATTAGGCACAACAATCAGATTTATGAAGACATAAATTTAGATTTCAGATTTTAGAAAAAATCAGATTAGAAATTCCAGATTTCAGAAAAAAAACAAAAAATTAGAATTCAGAAAAATCATATTTCATAAATTCATATTTTAGATTTCATATTATGCACAACAATCAGATTTATGAAGACAGAAATTCAGATTTTAGGAAAAATTTGCCCTCCCTAATCAGCCGACTACAATATGTGAAGAACATCTCAAATAATCGTTAAAAAAAAATGTGTTTTCCACCACTAATCGGCCATGACAACTAGTTTCCATGACTGAGCGTCCATCAGGGTGAGGTTTTGCGGTGAGTACTAGAGATATAACAATGGGTTTCCCATTGTGCAAACCGAAATGAACAAAATGTGCAACAAATAATTGGAGGAAAATTTTGAAGCAGCAACAACAATGGGTTTCAAAGATGAACCGACCAGATCGGGTTGAAGGATAGGCTATTATGCAAACAAACCCAAAAAAAAAAAGAAGAGAAAACCAACCATTACCTCAAAATCGGTTGTGTGTGAGCGACTGAGTTGCAGTGTCACCGCCGATATGAACTCCGGTGGCATTGGCCTGTCAGAAGTATCGCTATTCTTCTTCCCCAAGCAGTGCCGTTTAGATGGCCTCTTTCACTTCAACAGTTGTGGATGACCTAATTGCTACGAAGTGTGTGTGGAGGAAGGGGTTAGAGGCTGTAATGGTGTGAACACAGTGCCAGGGGTAGTTTGGTACTTTCACCTCACCCTGTATGTAAGTTACGCCCGTGAACCCATTTTGTTTGTTAGTGGCTAATTTAACCTATTTTGGACTATAGTGACTATTTCAACCCAAAACTTCGTTGCCAAACTGAGGCTGTATATATATATATACTAGCGGTTGCCACACACGATGCATGTGTAATTTAAATAAATAAAAATAAAATAAAACATTTATCATATATTGTGTGTTAGTTAAGTTCTTTTGACATACGTCTAAGATATAGATGGATAGATAGATAGATTTGGGTCATAACCAGCCCACACGAGAATTGAATGCATTGCCCATGGGTCATGCCCCGTATCCGAATCCTGCATGGGTCGGATCTGAACCCTTCAAACCGTCAAAAGAACAAAATTGTCGCCTAAACCCTAGCAGTTGGCTTCTTCTTCTTCTGATATACGATTTCAGGTTCTCTCTCTCTCTCTCTCTCTCTCTCTCTCTCTGTGTAATCTCTTTATATTTTGTAGTCATTCGTATTAATTTTTAATTGTGCAATGATTTCAGAAAGATAGTCTCAAGCATGTGAAGAATGGTGCTCTGAAATTCATATGCACAAGTGTTTGCTTATAGATAAATTTTTTTCCATTTTCCTTGTCTGTCAAATGTTCGATAAAATGCATCAATGGATAGCTATTGTGAATTTGTTTTCTAAGTGGATTTTTAAAAATTTGGACCTTTGATGATAGAATTTTGAGTGAAAAACCTCTCTGTTTGGTTTGGAATTCTCAAAATCTTTTGATTCTTATTTTTTTAGTGAAGTTTTTAATATTTTAATCAATTTTTTTACCTTTTTAAATTCACCTAATCTATAGACACTTCAAAGTACAAAATTTGTACAACTTTGCTTTTTCAATGATTTTTTGGAAGAATTTTGCACAAACTTCAAAATTTTAAGTTTATTTAGATTGTGAAATCTAAAAACCAAAATAATTGATTAAAATGTTTCAAAAATTCACTAGTAAAATGTAACTACTAATCTTGGCTAAGTAAATCCATGATCTAATAAATTCACAATATTGTTCGCATGAACAGAGAAAGAGAAACTTGAGGAGAGCACTGTGGGCAGGATCAGCAACCTACAAAGCTAAATGTCAAAAACACAGATTAGCGGAACCACAAAAAATGTTACAGGAAAGGAAAATATATAATCAAAAGCTATAAACATCAGATACAACCTTTAAGAGGTCAATATAAAAGTTCCACTAACACAAATTTTCAATCACCAGAGAAAAATTAGTAGCAATTCTTGAGGTCAAGAATATTAAATCTGTGCCATCACACAACATGTACTTGTCCTTTTTTTATTTACAAAAATGGAAAGGTAACAGCATAGCTTTTGACTGTCACAAATGCATGTCCAGATGTCCTCAAAGCGAGACACATTACAACATTGTAGATTTTGTTCACTTTGTTACTGCTCTCACCTATATATTTCTGCTATCTAGGAGGAAGGAGATGATTTTAGCAAACATGAAGGTTACGAGTGAACGATCCACATTGCATGAAGGATATTGACGTGAAATGATTATTAACATAAAGCTAGCAATGAAAACATACAATAATAAGTTGAAAAACACAATGTAATCTAAAATTACTAATTGAATCATCAATAGTAGATGAAGAAAGTGGAAGAAACAAACAAAAAAATTGAATAATGGTGAGTTTCTGACCCGTAGTTGTTTGTTTATACAAATAAATGGGCAGATCTCCGCCTATTGGGAACTGATGAAACTCTAAATTTTCGGACAGAGATTTAAGTTTTCCCAAATTTACGCCCCCCTTTTAATAATTTTTTGCTGAAAGTATATTTTTCATGCCAATTTTGATTTTTTTTTTTTTTTTTTGAAGTTTCTTACTGTAAAAGGTTTTACATGAAAATATTTTTCAAAGTATACATTGAAAAACAAAAGAAGCCTCAATGTGAAACACATTACATAAACACTGTTAAATGAGGTACTTGATTGAACACCATTCTAATTATAAATTGCTCATGAGAGCAGAGTCTTTACTGTTTTACCCTCTTTCACCTTCTGTTTTATGTCTGTTCCAAATTGTATACTTGGTTTTGGGATGAATTGAAATGAAACATATTCTATGGTTCCATAGGGTTTATGTCAGGTCACTTCTCTGGATTTCTGATATATGGGGTGCCAATGATTTATGTCAGCGTGCTTCTTATGTTGACTGGCTAAAAGGGTTTTGCCAAATTGCCAAAGATTAAGAAGTACTATAACGAAAAGCATCACTCCTGGTGATGAATTTCAGGGTTAAGCCGTCTACTAGATACTAATAAGAAGGTTGTAGTTGTTAACATTAGGAGCAGTTTGTTTAACTTTGTGTTGTAATTCACTCATTTAAATAGGCTTCATTGGAAGCTGAGAAAGCAGTTACAACTTACAATGTAATGTAATACACAGATTTTTCGAACTTCTAGTTTAAGAAATTGTAATTGTTGTGCAAAATGTTTTAGTGCCTAATATATGCTACACAGTATTTGCTAGAGATATGATTGATGGTGCTTGGAAGCTGTTTATGTTATTTCTTTTTATTGCTAAGCTGCCATGTTACTTTTGACTCATGAACCCAAAATTTTGCTTGTCAGTTCTCATTCTTTTCTTTAGAAATATATCTTTTTTTTGGTAATTCCTTTTAATCTATACAGGTTATGGCAACTATTTCATCATCCTGTGATCAGGTTGAGGATGAAGAAGAATATGTATTGCTTGATTTGGATGGGGTTTCTGGGCAAGTTGACATTCCACCAAATGCACCATATGTTCTATCTGTATGTTTGCAGACCTGCAACAATCTATTTCTAGGTTTTATTTTAGACATACTATATATTTAAAAAAACATTTACTTGATACTATTGCTTTTGTTTTTATGATTTAAATAACCCCAATTGTTACAAAGGATGACTTTCATCTTTCATTTAATTATCATTCATCTAAATTCAAGTCTTATTAGCCACGATACTCCTACTGAGGATTTGATATTTGGAATTCTTTATTTTCTGTAAACTTTCCAACTTGGGAATAAAAGAAACTTTAATGTGCAAGTTTTTTGTTTGTGTTGTATTACAAGTTTCTATATTGAAGGACCATGGCTATTATTTGGGAAAGATGCAATTTTGGACCTCTCATTAGATTAACCATGTTGACGATATCTTTCTGGCTAAAAAATTGCCTGAAACAAGGTATACTAACCCTTGATGGTGTAATAATCCTTTGAATAATTCCATTATTTTTAGTTGACAAAAATGATATGCATTCCATGGTTTAATAGTCCGTTCTTTTTCTTCTAGAGCAGTGATTTATAGGTGGATTTCAGTTTTGTGGTGCTTCTAATTGGTTGCAGATTTTGCATTATCTGCAGGAGAATTGATTTTTATGTATAAAAGCATACATTTTTAGTGATTTGAGAATGTGTATTTAAAGATCATCTGTTAATGCACTTCTGTTGATTGTCCTGTTTATGTTCTGTATGGGAATTTTATCATTTTATCGTTTGTTTGTAATTTCATTGTTATTGTTGCCTCAAAAAAATGCAGGGTCTGGACACGATTAACCCAATTTTGGTTATCGACAACAAATTAAAGCTGGTGAGTCAAAGGCTTGAAAAGGTTTTGTTCTGAGGGAAATGCTACAAGTTTTAAATTTTCATCTATATATATTGTGGATACATGCCAGCTAGACTACATTTTGGATTTTCCTTTTCCCGATGTTACATTTTCAATTAAACAGACGTCTAGTTTCACTGCATCGGTTCATGGATTACATTTGACTCACATCTCTATCTATGGTGGCTGTTATATGAGTTTATTTTTATTCTCTTTACTTTTGAAGCAAGTTATTCTAATTTCAATTTCATGAACAAATTCATTAAATTAATGCCTTGAATCCTTGTGCTAATATGGGAACAATTTCAATTTCTTGATTAATTACTTATACTAATATGGGAAGATAAATGACCTACCTCAAATTATGAGGCATTTAATAATGATTTGTTAACGTTATTGTTTTTCTTTGAGATGCTTTTTCATACATTAAATCATTGTGTATTTCGTATGCACTAGAGATAGATATAGTCTTGACGTTCTTGTATTTCTACTTAAGATATCTCATTATTCAGACTATCCACCAAATTGGATATCATTATCTAATTAGGTGGACTATCATTTCACCTTTTCTTTATTGTTTATTGTAATAAAGGGATGGTCAAGATATTTTCATTAGATCACCAGTGACATCTGTCTGATGAATGCGTGATGACTTCTTAATCTTTTGTTGATTGACGACTGATGAGTGGGGTAAATTTGGGGTTAATAAAATTTAAATTTAACTTACAATTACATATCAAAAAATAAACAAATAATTCTATGACCTAGGTAACAAAATATGGGTACCTGGACCTTTAAGTCTGCATAGACCACAACAGTGAATTTCAGCAAGAGGCAAAAAATAAACAAAACTAGGAAATTTGTTGAATAACTGCAATGACTTCAACTAGAAATAGTTCAATGGTTTAATGTTCAGTTCAGTTTGATGCTTTTTTCATTTTCCTTTTACTTTCTTTGTGACTTTTAAGTATTATGATTTACTACTCTTTGATCTCACAGATTGGAGAATATGAAGAAACAATTGGAACATGCTTTGTTTTCACTGAGGGGGGTGAGTTGCATTCTTTTCCCACTTTGCCAGCACTTTATACTAATGTAGGAGGCTTACAATATATATATATATATATATCTGTTTAACCATAGGGATAACACCTTAAATTTCTTCTAATCCCAAATTGTTTTTCTTTGTTGAGATTGTCTTTTTCAACAAATTAAACTAGTGTAGGGTCTGGTGGAGTATATATGTACTAATATCAATGCAAAACAATGTCAATCACCGGATATTGCACTTTTGAGTATATAGAAGAGAAAAGTATTTTGGCTTGAGCACAACAAATGAGCGACCATAACAACTGAGATACCATGAATTGGACTTCTTCAAACCTGTTTGCATTTTTGTTGTAGAATCGTAGCCAAGATCCTTTGAGCCATGCTTATATTCACATGCATAAATTGCAGTTTTCCATCAAGTGGCAACTTTTATTTTCCAAAGGTAGCACTAATAGCAAATTCACATCATTAAATAAACTAAAATTTCCATCTACAACTCAATTACACAGTCCATTACTCCAACTCCTCCCTTGATGAAGATGTTATGAGCCTAGTCCTCCATCCATGCAAATATGCACAAATAAAACATATTGTTCTGGATTTTTTTCTTCTTCGACATACTATCTCTTTCCATTTCTTTTCTTTTTCTCTCACATCTAAACACTGCCTACGATGGAATACATTGCTTCATCAGTTACTCATGTGTGCCTTTTGCTCAACCAAATCGGTGGGATCCCAAACCAGTACCTAACTACTCCCAAAAAGCATAAAACATTTTGTAACACTATCACGAAAGATGAAAGAATGACAACTGAAAACTGGGCTCCATCAAATTTGTAAGGCACTAGATTTAGAAAGCTGTGGACAAAACTCGTCATGATTAAAGTTTAGAAGAAAAAAAATAGATTGAATGAAAAAAAGCTAGATGCTACAATAGCTCTTCCAGAAATAGATTGAATGATTTTCTGATGGTTTACATACATCAATCGCTAGTTGTGAAAATCCCACAAAATTTGAGAGTAAGAAAAGCACATCAATAATCATGAACTTACCACAGATATGGTTTATATACGCATTTATATCATATACTATATGTGTGCAGTGTGCAGTGTGCACATGTAATTTTCATGTATTAGGGTTAATGGAGATAAAGAGAAAGGCATTGCGCTGTGAGAGAAAAATAAAATGTTGCATTGGGAATATAATAGGGGGGGGGTGTTATGAAAAAGGTTTTTCAATCCAAGGAATTGAGGAGAGATGAGAAAGTCCAACGACTCGGCAACAAGAGGAACTAAATTTTATTTCAGGGAAAATTCAGCTCTTCTGTAAAAATTTTGAACCCTCATCTCTCTGAATGTGTTCTGTGTTTTAGGAAATAAGTCAACTTCATTTGACTAAAAAAAATATAGCCGTTTAAGTTCAGATTCTCAGTCACGTGTATTTGATGGTTTGATGGGAGCTTTAATGAAAATTGTATCACAGCTAGACCAAGTTCATTTTTTTGCAGAAGCTGCCCCGGTGGTTCATGAAGAGACAGGACCATCTGAAGCAAACCTTTTCTCAGGCAAATTCATAATAGACCCAAAGCAAGCTCCATCCAAGGAAGTCAAGCCGATTGCTCGACTCCATAAGATTCTAAGATTCAGCTTACTACCCGAGACTGAGGTTGAAGACTCAACACCGACAGCGAAACAGACTACTACATGATTTAACTGTGAATGGATTACATTCCAAATAGAAGTGTTGATATTCACTTATTTCAAAATGGGAGAAAAGGCTGAGCAGATAGAGCTTTGCAGAAGTCAAAAGTGGTGTACGGTAGAGGTTATTGTGAGACTTCAACATTGCATTGGTCCCACAGTGATAATGATCCAGAGCTTCACGTGCATTGGTAGGTAATTCACATTGATTCACATTGGGACCAATCACTCTCATTTCAAAATGTCTTATGTAGATGTTATTAGTAATTTTTTTTATTTTATGGGGATACCAGTGATTATATTACTATTTATATCTATTGGTCATTTGACGAATTTATAAGAAACAAGAGACATTCATAATTGAAAAGAGGAATTCATGCCTGCGCACAACATTAATTAACCGACTCTTTTTGGAGTTTTATGGTTTTGAGACTGGTGTGCTCTCGGGAGCCATACATTCACTCCATGGACGGTTGGGATTGGGTAAGGATTGATTGATGGGATTACTGGTCTGCTGGTATTAGATTAGGATGGGAGATGAATTGTGTTTCTTTGGGTATAGTTTGGTAGTATTACTTAGTTTTGTAAAACTATGTAAAAGTCATTATATAAAAAGCTACTTTGTTATTTTTGCAAAGTAAGAATAGAATGATATTTTCATCTCCAATCTGATGGAATTGATTGTTAATTCCAGCCCTTTCATGTGAAGATTAACAATGAGTGTTGCTATTAATACTCCATTAATTATTTGGTACCCTCATTTCTTTGGACCCTACTTATAAATTCTAAAACTCTTAAAATTTATTTTCTCCTTCCAAATAATATCAAAATTATCCTTGTGAAAATATTACACTCATTCAATTGAATGCACACTCTCATACCTCAAAGGCCTCTCTCAATAACCCTAACAAAATTTACGAAGGTGATTACTACTTTATTTTCACATACTTGTTCATGACCTACGAAAATAAATGTAGGGTTTTTTGTTATTAATTCAAAATTCTCCTTTTGTGGATTCTGCAATCTCTACGAGTTTTGGTTAACTATTCCTGAATAAATAAGAAATGTTCGATTACCTGTTTCCGAACAAATGAATAATATTCGGGCTTGTATTCTCGAATTTTGGTCATATTTCGGGAGTTTAGTTTCAAAAAACTGACGAACAATTTTTATTATTTTTGTCATTTTTTTCAAGGAACTTACCCTTGCAAGGCCAATCTCTTTTAAATTAAGAATTTCATCAAAGTTATGAACATTCTCTGAGCTTTTATTGTTGTACACTTATTGTCTCATGGAGTTGTGCTTGTTGGAAAAACTTTTACTCATTGTCATTACCAAAGAAATGTAGGTAATCAAATGGTTGCTAACGTTATTGCTGGAATATTGTCGAAAAGAGTTTTTAAGGTTTTGAGGGTAGGTAGGTTTTAAAGGTAGGATTTGGGGAAGATGGATAGATGGTGATGAAGGTGGGTGTTCTCATAAATCCTAACTCATGATGTAATGGATTTGTGGGCTTAATTGTGAGATGAAATATTCCAAAATTATTGATATCTTTTTTAGTAATTTTATTTGAGATTATTATTGTAATAAAAAAATTAAAAAATTAGAGGTTCAAAATAATTGATGGAGTGCTAATAACAGCACTCTTCAACCATGTTTGTTTAGCGAATTAGATTTAAGCGGATTGTTAATGAGGGATGGCTAGTGAAAAGATTGTTAATGTGGGGATTGTTAATAAGAGGATTAAGTAAAAGTGTATTTGTTTGGATAATAGTGCGGAAGATGATTAATGATGGGATTGTTAAATTATTTTTAAATAAAATAAATTAAAAAATGATTTTTATATTAAAAAAATTAAAATAAAAGGTGCACTTGGAATTGTTAAAATAAAAAGTGCACTTTTAAAATAAATATTAAAAGTGTGTTTGTCCGGCAATGTTTGTTAGAAAAAAAATTGCACTGTACCGGACGTCCGGACAGACGATCAGATAGACTGAAATTACTCATTATTTTCTTAATCTCACTTGTTTTCCAGCCAAGCTAATCTCTCTTACTGAGAAGGATTACTAAATCACCTAGACTGTGAAGCCGACCGTCCCAAATAATACCAAACATGTTATGAATAAAACCTACAACAATCCTACTCCAATCCAGCCGTTTTAAAAGTGGGCCTTAACAATCCCATACGACTCTTAGGGTGTGTTTGATTGGAGGGATAAAGGGAGGGACTATTTACTATGCAGATTGTAATCCATTGGAAGCATCCAATTCGACGTTTGTTTTTTTTTTTCCAGTTCGCTAGACATGGAGTCCGACCGGACTTCATATCCCTCATATGAGAGACTATTGTATCCTAGGGGGGGTGTGGGATTGTTTCCATGACATTATTTACTGTTGGGATTAAGCGGTGAAATGACTATTTTGTAACTTTTTATTGATGTTTTATTTATTTAATTTTTTAAAATAATTTTTTATAGATATTTTTATTGATGTTTTATTTTAAAATCTTGTTTATATTTTATTTAATTTCATTATTTAAATTTTAATAGACGTTTTATTTAATTTCATTATTTCATTATTATTATTTTTTAAAATAAATTTATTTAAAATTTTAATTAAAAAATAACATATTTTATTTAATTTCATTATTTCATTATTATTGATATTTTATTTATTTTATTTAAAAAAAATAAATTTATTTAATCGTGTAAGAAATAAAATAAATAAATTTTTTATTTAATGTAGCTAAAAATAATTAAAATATTAAGATATGTTTAATATTACTATTACTTAATAAATAATTAAAAAATGGTAAAATAGTCTTTTGTTCATTTATCCTATCCAGTCCGTCCAACTAAATATTGAATTCACTAAAAATAGTCTTTTCCGAGGGATTCACAGTCCTAAGATTCAAATCCAATGAATTCTAATCCCCTTTATCCAATCCGTCCAATCAAACACGCCCTTAATCCCCCATTATTTTTTCCAACCAACTGTGATTTATATGGAGTTAACCGGTTTCTAATCTGATGCCACCTATGAAACTAGGCACCGTTTGGGAAGTGATTTTGTGGGTTTTTTTTGGCTATTTTAGTTACAAAAGGCAAAATAGACTATTTTAAACATCACATCCAACCTATAATCATTACAATCTTCTCTCACAAAAAAGTTAAAAAATCAAAAAGTCCTTCCCAAACCAAGTTTTTTAGCCCAGGCTAAAATAGTCAAAAAAGTCAAAAAGCCAACCCACTTCCCTAACCAACCCCAAATATGACTTAAAATTGTTGAGATTTTTTTTTTTTTTTTTTGAACTGAATACCTTCGTGGTGCTGATTGGTTAGTTCATCTGACACCAACATTGGTGAAGGTGAAAGTAGAGCTAGTTAAAGCTTGATACAATTAGATTAGATTAGATTAGAGTTGAGGTGGCTTTGCAACACTAATTTCCTGCGCAGACGTGGCCTCGTATCTCATTTGGAATTTGATACAGTAAAGTGATATTATGTATTCGAACCAGCTAAAAAAAAATGTTATGTATTCAAAATTTTCATTTAAAAAGTATCCATAATTTAAAATTGTATAAATTAAATTTATTGAAAATATAACTCACATTACATTCAAAATAAATTTGAAGAGTCTTGTTACAGCCACACTTTTTTTTTAATAATATTTTTTATCGCTTACTCACAATGAAAGTGGACCTGCATCATCACATGATATGAGGTACACTTCCATTGTAAGTAAGTGTTAAGAAATGTGGTGAAAAAGTATATACAAGTGTAATCTTACTCAATTTGAATATACACGTACATTAAAATTTTGGAATTTATTGAAAACTTGGGCACTTTTTAGAAAAAGCTATAGGTTTACAAAGGCGCAAACCAGTAATTTTTTGTTTTTTAATTTTTTTTCTGAGTCCTCCCAAATTCCATGGAGAGGGATGGTATGGTTGGTTAATGAATATTATCAAGTCATCCTAGTGTTACAGGAGAAAACGAAAGCCGAATATGTCTCAGTCATCTCCCCGACCTAGCCAAGAACATGGAGATGATCCAGAGAAGAGCAAGAAAAAGACCAAGGGAATCTAAACACACCAACGACAGTAGGGGAAAGGATTAGGGTTCTGCAGCATGTGAAAGGAAAATTCAAGCACTTTAATTAGAAATGTGTTAAAAAACAACCACCACCACCGGTTAATCTCCAAGCAGCTATGGAAACTTTGGTTTTGATGACCGGTAATACTACATATACCAATTAATATACACACTAGTGTACCAACTAATGTCTTGTCATTATTACCGACCTCACCTATTACACAAATTACAAAAAATCAAAACTTCTAAAATTATATCACATCAACTGTTAATATAATTATTAACAATTAGTACATTAATTTGGACATATAAAATTATTTTTTGACGACTAATTGTTGGCTTTGCCACATTTATTGCATTGACAATTACTCTACAAGGGGACGAATGCAACCAAGAACTGGACCTCAAAGAAGCAAAATCAAACTACTAGTCAACAACATACTTAAAGCTGATCACAAGGATGAAGCCGAAGAGATTGCTTTCAATGTTTTCGACAATTTAATTCCCCATGATACCATCCACAGCTGCAATAGCCCAGTCAATCAGTACTGTCTTTATCGCAAACTCTGGCCACATAGTATTAACACTCCCTTTGTTTTGATGTAAAACAAATTTTTTTTTTTGTTAACAAAAAAGAATTTCACATCTGTCTGCAAACTAATAACAAACCACCTCCACCATCCAGCTGCCACCCCCACCACAGCTGCCACTGCTCCGCTACCAACACAGCTCCACCGCCACCTCCTCTATCATCCCAGCACCACAACTACACCACCACCCCACCACCACTGCCACCAACACAGCTCCTCAACCACCACATCCAGCACCCCACCACCACCTCCTCCATAATCCCACTGTCGCTGCTGCCCCACCACCACATGCACTTGTAACTTCTTCCTCTTTATCATATTACAAATCAGAGTAACACAGATTTTAGGATTTTACCAAAATCACAGAGAAATTCCAGTAAGCACACAAAATATACTCCAAACCAAAAAGAAAATAAAATACAAGGAAAAAGATTATGACAAAAATGAGCATTGAGGCAGTTGGAATTAGGGGATTCCTGCTTATATGATGACTCCTGGTTCTGCATAAGTATTTCATATGCTAACTGCACTAAATTTCGGTTTTCGGATGATTTTTCAAAATTTAAAAACTGATCAAAATATTATATTTAAATACTTGGAGGACTAGCTATCAAAGAATATGTACATGAAGCTGCTCAAAAAAATCTAGCAAGACAACATTCCATATACCCATTATTTATCAAAGAGAGTTTTCATATCCTCAATTTGAAGCTGTATCTCAATGATCATAACATTAGGAAATAGTATTTAACAGAACTACATTTAGATGATTGATCATCAAATTACAGCAACAAAACAAACACTAAACAAACAAGTACCAAAAGAAAATAAATTTACATCGGCAAAACATCAAACTAAACCCTAGGTCACACACCTACTTCTTACCATCTTCGATGGCTTTATCCGCAACTACTTTGAACTTTTCATATTCAAATCCCACAGGCTGTGCAGTACACTCTTCTGGCACCACTGGCCGCCTATTGACAAGTAAGGTCCAAACAAACAACACAACGAATGCCCCTAGGGCTCCACAAGCAATGACAAATATCAGTGCAGCAAGGATTTTTGAAAGACAATAGCGTCTCTTACAGACAGTTAGAGTTCTTGTTTTGTTGTTGAAAGCCATAGGATCCACAGGTTGCGAATGCATCCAATGCGGAACTTGCCTTAGCCTAAAACTCCATGAATACACATTGCAAGTTTGCGACGAATTCACATTCGATGAGCTTAACCCCACAAACACCTCTTGCTCTTTCCACATCAATGACAAGTCAATTGGGAATGAAATCAATGGGACAACCGGCCTAAATTCGCCTAGTTTACTCAACCTAACTTCTAATCGCTTTGAGCCCGCTTCGTAATCTATCCAACTTTGCAATTTCTCACCACTATTCAGCACCAAATTGATAGAAGAAACATTGCTCACTTTAAGTGAAACAAGACCGTCAATATCAATCCCAACATGATTGGCATTCAAATCACCATACTTGTTATCCATCAATGTATCAAATTCAACAACAAGAGTCCTAAATTTTTGATCATCCAACAACCCAAATGAACCATTATCAAAGACATTCAAAGGAAACCCAATTGGAACCATATCAAAAGCTAAACCATCCCCACTTTCAGGCGAAATTGAAAACGAGAAATAAGTCGAAAAGGACACAATTTCTCTAGGGTTTCCATCAACAAGCTTGATGGGTTTCCTGTAAAAGACTCGCCCAGCACTCAAGCTCGACGAGGACGACCCAGTAATTTGTACGAACGAACCGCCATTGACGACCTTGGCATCGCCATACAGAGCAAGTTGGAGCTCAAACTTGGAATTTTCAGCGAAATTTTTGAAATCAAAGGTCGAATTGGAGTCTGAAGATACGGTTTTGAAAAAGAGAATGAGTAGAGAAAGGGCTGCGAAGTACCTGGAAGTTGAAATTGAGGCCATTCTCGATCTGGGTTTGAGCTGAAACTCTTTGTGATTTGTCTGTTTTGCTTTGGAGTTTCTAGGGTTTTTGGATTGAACCCATTTAGTGATTCTTCTTTTGGGGGGTTTTTTATTTCTAGGGTTGGAGTGTGAAATTGGGGGAAATGGGTGGTGGTGGTGGGTTTGCTAGGAGGTTGTGAAATTTATTATGGGTATTACTCTGTTCTCTGCAACACTCTCTGCTTCACTTTTTCTCTCAGTGGTTGCTGATTAAGGGAATATAATTTCAGATTCTTTAGGATTATGCCCTTCTATCTTTTCGTTTTGCAGATACATCCTGCTATTATTTTCCTTCACATTCATGACCTTCTCTCAGTGGTTGCTGATTGAGGGAATATAATTTCAGATTCTTTAGGATTATGCCCTTCTATCTTTTCATTTTGCAGATGCATGCCCCTGCTATTATTTTCCTTTACATTCATGACCTTCCTCTACATGTGATACTTTGGTTTGGCAATTATTTATTCCGTTTGATTTCAGTTTTTAAAATTCAATTTTTAGAAAATTCAATTTTTTCATATTTTGTATTTTTTTATTTTCATTAAATTTTTTTAGTATTTTAAGGAATTTTTTTAATTGTTAGACATACTTAACATAAATACACTTAAAAAGTATTATTTGTGAACAAATCTTTAAAAAATCACTAAATACCAAAAATACAAAAACAATACGAAAATTTAGAACATTTTTCATATTTTTGTGTATTTGTTAAATTTTTTAAATATTTTTTCACAAATATTTTACTATTTAAATACATTTAAGTAAGGTACATCTAAAAAAGAAATATATATATATATATGTTTAAAATTTTAAAAATATTCACTAAAAACAAAAAATAAAATATGAAAGACAAAAAATTCAATTTTCATAAAACTGAATTCAGAAAATTAAAACCAAACACAGTAAATTATAAATATACAATCTGATATTTGTTTAAAATACAAATTATCCTTTGTATAGTTTAGAAAATTTAAATGAAAATTACATCTCGTGCATTTAAATTTTCTAATCACATAACAAATAACCCCTTTTATTATAGGGAAATAACCTACAAGTGGTGAGTTGAACAAGTAATTATAAAAAGTGATAAATATTAATAATTTTAATTTTAATTTTTTTTTTACTAATATGTAATAATTTTAATATGTAATAATTTTTAATGATTAGCTAATGGTAATTTCTCCTTTTATTATTAAATCAATTAACAGTTTTTCATAATATCAAAAATATATTTCAATTAACAATTCTGATAATTTTATTGTTATATAGAATAGTAGTTATGAATTTTATTTTTATTTTTGTTTATTTCATTAAATAAAAAATTATGACAATAGAATTTTTATAATTTTCAGAACCACAAAAAACACATCATATTTTAAGCAAATCTCATAGTGTATATTTATAATTACCTTCTTTTAGTGAATTTTTAAAAATTTTGTCTCTTTTTTTTAAAAGTATTTTTAGAATATAAAATAGTAAGTGTAGTGCATTGTGCCTTTTTTTTGAAAAAAGTTACACTTCAATGGTTATTTTATAAAATTATTACATATTCATAAAAAATTTATGATTTCAATTATCAATATCTATAAAATTTACTATTTATTTGCAATTATTTTTCAAAATACCCATTGAACTGAAATTTCTTTATTTTTTTCTAAATAAAAAAATTTATTACAAGTTTTTAATGTTGAAAAAGTTTAGGCTTTATATGTTTACCAACACCTCATGGATTATTGTTTGTAAATTGGTCTAACTGTCAATAATTATATTAAAATACAGGTCAATGCCTTTTTATGGACGAACTTGAAACTTAACTCACCCCAATACCGAAATGTGATCTTACTTGACTCACCCTAATACCTAACTGTCATTTTTTTGTTATCAATTGAGTAATTATCCGAAGTGGATCCAACCATACTGTTCAATTGAAAAAAACCAGTTTACATAAGAGTGTAGATGCTTTTTTTTTTTTTTTTTGGGGATAGAAAATCAACATTGGCTAATTTATCATTTATGGCTCATTTGGGAAGCTGACGCATTTTTGGTCACATCACTTTTCATATTCTTTACTTATTAAAAGACAAAAAAATCAAAAAACAAAAAAAATTAGATTTTAACTAATTTTTCAAAACACCCCTTATTATAATTATGCATATCGATCAAGTTTGAGCATTTTCCATTCTAATGATTTGTACTATTCATTTTATAAGATTTTATTTATATATTATTCATACAAAAATTAAGTTGATATGACAATCGTAACGTTTTTATTTTATTATGTTGGTATCTATAAAAAAAAATTTAAAAAGAGTATATTTTTAAAAACACACTTCTCGTTTATTTTTTTAAGACAAATATGATAAAATAAAAATATTATAATTATTAAATTAACTTAATTTTTTCATAAAAAAAATATAATTTTTTTTTTATAAAATAAACTATGTAAATTATTAAAACAAAATACGTAGACCTAAGATTCAAACAAATTTTTCAAATTTAACTTGCGTGAGGTCAACCCTTCAACAAATTAGTTGTATTCTCTTTTGAGGAGATGGACAACATCTAACGCACGCAGCGGGCGTTGATACACCCGATTCATGTGTAGTTTCTTTTTGCTATCCGAACCGACAGTAAAAGCAAAATGCGTTGTGCATTGTGCCTACTTTAGCAAAATCTTTTCAGTCAAAAACTAATGTGCGCGTGCTTTTTGTACTCTCTCTTGGTTTCATGTACAAATACATTTGTATATGTTCTAGGATATATTTTATTTGAGGAAAAATTGCAAATCAATGTATATTTTTAAAAGTAATTTTAAATTAATGGTAAATTTTATCAACTTTAGTAATTAAAGTTATAAAAAAATTTATGAATATGTAAATATTTTGTGAAGTTGTCACTTATTTGCAAATTTTTCTTTATTTTATATGCTTGTGATTTGGCTTAAATACCAATACTTTTTTTTATCATTTGTAAATAATCCTATAATTCTCTTGTAGTATATAAATTGAAGTGTATCCGTTAGAATCATTAAAAACTTAAACAAAATAACAATATTACAAAGAAAAATACTATGTACCCCAAATATTTTACCAAACCGTTCACGTGGGGTGGGACTCACACAAATTCACATGTGTCTGGGTCTCACACTCATGTGAGAATATTTGATAGAATATTTGGAGTCCTAGCATAACTCTATTACAAATTAAGAATTATCTACGCAGAATTTACTCAAAAATAACAATTAATGATTCAAATTAATTTAAATTGTAAACCCCACACTTCATCAATTTAATCTCCACCACACATCTACTATAAATTCTAAAATCCTAATTCTGGTATCTAGACTTTTCTTAAAGAAAAAGACCAATTACCATGGTATATAAGTCATATTATTGTCCAAATCACAATTATTTTTATCATTTTTTTAAGATAGTGTATATTTTAACTTTCTGTGCTTTATTCTGTATGTAATTTATATCATAATATTAAAAAAATGAACATATAATCCTTTTATATTTTGGTACATATTTAATATTTGCTGTTAATTTAATAAAATATCTAACAATTAATGTATTTCAATCTATAAATCATAAGGAAGTTACATAATTACTTTAGGAGGAGGATTCCCTCCTGTTCGTAATCTGGATAAGAGAACATTGTTTGGGCCCGTTTGATCTAATATGGGTCTCATTTCAATTATTCAAACCGTTTATTTTTGTCTAGCACTTCGTGTATCTCATTTACAGAAAAAAAAATTAAATCGATTCAATAATTATAACTTATTCAATTTATCGTGTTTGTCACCAAAAAAAAAATAAACACGATAAATTGATTAAATTATAATTATTAAATCGATCTAATTTTTTTACGAATAAAATGCATAAAATACTTGATAAAATAAACAATTCAAATCATAATACATGTACGACCCAAACAACACAGTCGAATCTACAATTTGCATATAGATAAAAGTCACTATAAGTAAAGTGGAACTTATTATATATAAAGAGGTTTTGTATGGAAATGCAAAGCAAAACACAAGGAAGAAGACAGTAGACAGATGGCAGCTAAACAAGTGGGACTTTTTGTGGTGCATGGGGTACGATATTTGGATGCCGACGATTCACTGATCACATTTATTAATTTAACGAACCTTCGCTTTTGCTGCCCAACTTGTCTTTTTATACAACCCAAACAGTTTTGTCTTGTTACCCTCATATTCACTCATGCATGCAATTTCCAAGTTTAATAAATGAATTAAAATATATAAAATAAATTTTTTTTTTTAAAAGTTTAATGGTGGGATGTTGCGTTGCTGTCAAAGTAAAGCTAAGGTAATGCGAAGAAGAAGAAAAAACACCGTTAGTTCGAATTTTTTTAGAATTTGAGTAATATATTTTTGAATTTGATATGAGTTTTAGTAAAAATTGAAAAGTTTGATTTAAATTTGGATGAATTTGAGTAAAGATATCAAATAACTTGAGCAACTCAAAACTTGATTTTTATATATAATAGATATATAAAAATATTAAATATATATATAAATTATTAGTCATTATATGATTTTAAAGTAATTTAAATTATTAAATCATATTGAATATATTATATACATAAGTAACACTCCAAAACGACGTCGTTTTGGGCTGTCGAGCCGTTCGAGCCACTGTACTTTCGAGCTACCACGCATTTTCCGTTTTACAAAAAGCAAGTTTGATTGTGTTTTTATTTTGGAAAATATTTCGTAGCTCGAAACATTTGCCCCGAATGGCTCGATTTCGAAGCAGAGGGGAAGAGAGAAGCAGAGGGAGAGGAAGAGAAAGAGAAAAGCAGAGAGAGATGGAGAGAAAGAGAGAAGCAGAGGGGGAGAGAGAGAGAGAGAGAGAAGACGATCGTCGCCCCGCCCAGCCGCCGATCCGCCGATCGTCGCCCAGCCCAGCCCCGCCGCAGCCTCCGACCGCCGTCGCCCCGCCTCCGCCTCCTCCTCCCCCGAATATTATGCCCCCTCCAGTCCTCCTCCTTTCTTCCTTCTTCTTCCTGGTCTTCGTTCTTCTTCTGCCAAAAAAAAAAAAATTGAGCCATTCGGGCTCCCCGTTTTCGAGCTACGTAGCACGATCGTTTTCTTTATTTTATATGCTTGTGATTTGGCTTAAATACCAATACTTTTTTTATCATTTGAAAATAATCCTATTAATTCTCTTGTAGTATATAAATTGAAGTGTATCCGTT